AGCTAGGCTTTTGTGAGTTCACCGTTAGAGACTTCTTGAAATATGCATTTGTTGTTTTGTTAGTTTACATAACCACCTTTTGTTGGCAGTAAACTATCAGCATTAAAAATTAGGGATGAGGCGGTCACGTCGCGTTTTACATTACTCTGACATAGCTATGTCTGCATGAAGACGTTGAGAAAAACGGCGAAACACTTTAGTAAGTGTATGAGAATGACGATCTTTTGAACTATTTTAGTGCGTTGCCCAGTAGATTGCTACCAACATTTCGAGCCAACATACTGCCGTCATTTTCCGGATATAAGTGGAAAGTTATCGGTCTCAGTGTCCACGTTTGAATGTGGTACCTACACACTAAGACGGAAGTGCTAATTCACTGTGGTATTAGGTAATTTACGCCGGTGAAATGAATCACTTCCTGTCTTTGAGCCGTGTCCCTCGACAATGTGGGTAAAGAACCGCGTTCTTCTACCCACTTTGACCCGTGAATCCCATCTCTATATGGGTAAGGGACAGGCTCATAAGAAACGACTTGCTTGTCAGCGTGGTGCAATATGCCTCCCTAGGATTGAGTAAGGGATCTCGAGGGAGAAAAGCCACAGTCGGTACGATGGGCCAGGCTGGACGGATCCGCTAGGCAGGAGCTGGTATGGAACATACGGCATAAGTATACATATATAGATAATTGATACAGAATTACGCTGTACCCAACAGCATTCAGTCGCTACAGTGAGGCGACAGCACTGACAAGTCCCTTCATTCCCAGAACGTCACAGATCTCGACCCTCTCGCCTTCACTCTTCAGCTTACATGGCCTTTCTGAATCAGCATTCAGTCGCTGCAGTGAGGCGACAGCACTGACAAGTCCCTTCATTCCCAGAACGTCACAGATCTCGCCTCTCTCGCCTTCACTCTTCAGTTTACATGGCCTTTCTGAACCAGCATTTACTCGCTGCAGTGAGGCGACAGCACTGACAAGTCCCTTCATTCCCAGAACGTCACAGATCTCGCCTCTCTCGCCTTCACTCTTCAGCTTAAATTCTGTCAGGTCAGTCACAGTGGCCGAGCCATCTAAGCTCGCTTCAAAACTTGGATCGTGGGTTCGAATCAAACTTAAGGCATGCACGTTTATGTGCATATATTTATGTTTATATCGTTCTATGTGTTTGCAGAGGCCTTGCAACCGGCTGATCCCCCGCCCAAAGAGTCCTACCGACTGTATATAGGATTAAGGTCCAACAAAGGGGTTGAAGAGCCATAGATAAATAGATAAAGTTGTATCAGTGCTTAATTAAGCAACACATTAAGAATTCGCATAGAAATAAGGGATTAAATGTTTGCGCATTCTTAATTTCGGCTATAGTTGGAGCTGCGCGTGCGCAGTCTGGTCGCTTCTCTTCGGTGGAAGACTCCACAGTACGCGTTGGGTACGATGTTCGGTATGAATTAGATTTGATGGCGATGAGCAAAATCCCTGCCAGAAATCGAACCCTTGCTTTCCATCGATAGGTAGTCACTTTACTGGCTGACCTATCCCAAAATGACTTAAAATAAGTATAGGCCTATGTTATGAAACTGTTGTGATAGTCTCTGAACTGAAATGAACCAGACAGGAGATGTTTGAAAGACACGTGATAGTCTCTGAACTGAAAAGAACCAGACAGGAGATGTTTGAAAGACACGTGCTGTGGTAGCCGGAACTTTAGAATAAAAAAGGATAATATTAAGATGGCTCTTAGGGGGTAGGTTTGCCTATTATGGCTTCTAGGAGGCTTGAATGTGACCGACATCAGTGAACCCCCTTCTACCTTCAGACATCCACATGTAACTACAATTAACACTAATTTTACAGCTTGCACTTCTATTTCTATATCATATTCATCTCTTCTTGAATACTAGCGCCTGTCGCCTCGCCTTAATTACGTCATGCACTTAATATTATTAATTGAACACTTCGAATTGTCAAGTAGTTGTGATATTTATAAACTAAGAGAAGAAAAACGTTTCTACTGTGAAATTGAAAATGAGGGGTGTGTGAGCCGCTCTAGCATGTTGTGATTTGTTTAGGGTGGGGCAAGGGAGTGAAACACAATCCGGTAGGAAAGGCCAGAAACTCTTGAGCTTTTCCCGGGTCCCATGAATATTAGGACGCAGATAAGGGATGGAAATTTCTCAGAATAATGTCCAGTGGCGGGCTTTGAGGTTAGCGGTGCCGAAACTAATATCATTAGTTCACATACGAGTACATCAAAGGGGCACGCAGTTGTGTATGTGATTGAGGCACTATGCTGGAAGGTCGCGGGTTCGAGTCCAGATGATTTGATTTTTTCAGCTTACCTAATGCTTCAAACCACACAATGGCACTGGGGTGGACTCCCTCTAACAGAAGTGAGTATCAGCAATCTTCCTGGGGGTAAAGGGCGGCCAGCGCGTAATGCTGACAAACTTACCGTCATCTGTGAGCCGATTGTCTAGATGTGGGAGCCTCAACATCTCACAACCCTATGGACCTTCACGGCCTGTTACAGGGGTAACTTTATCTTGTACGAGTATATAAAACTGGACTTCGTTCAGTGATAACGAGATATTGCGTTTTGTTCGCAGTAGAAGAAACCGTAGATACGAGTCACGGAAGATAAAAACACCTACAGCTGTTAGCAGGTGTTTTCTCAGCGTCAGAATTCCATGTTATTACGAGTGAATATTTTACGAGGGGAAGACTAGGAGAGAGAGAGGCAGAAATGCAGTTAGTGCGAGTCCTCATACTAGAATAACATTCGAAATCGAACCAGCAACATTGGCGTTATATATATTTTTATTTTTCTGTGGATTAACCGCCCGGAAGAAATGTAGTGAGCTTCTCGGGGTCGGTGTTTCCCGGAAGAGCCCGAAGTTTGACCGAAGTTCGCCGAAATTGGCCGAAGTAGACCGAAGTTGCGGCCAGGCCAGGGATCCCAGCAGGAGCGATTATTCTGTTTTTCAGTTGAAAGCAGGACTCGGTCGTGGAGCTATAACTGTGTCCGTTGCCGTCTCCGAGGTGATAACCGCTCCCACCCTGTCGACCACAGATGTAAGTAGGTCACTGCATGACCCTCATTGCAACGATTTATCCAATTAACCCTTTACAGCACAGTGCTTAGTTTATGTAACACCTGCGTTAACATCAAAAGTAGTTTAGCATACATTTATAATACAAAGAATTTATAATAATGTTTTGAGATATTTTTAAAAACATCTTAAAAAGTATTTGGCAATGAAACTCCATAGATTCTATCTTTACGTAAAATTGATCTCTGCATCTGTTTTGGAAGTTATAGTGATACCGTCTCGGCGCGCACAGCACAGAAAGTACCGTTCCTCATTTTTTTCGATAAGTGTTGCGGTGGAAACACGTTTGTTTGCGAAGCCGTTACAAAGTCACGGCTCTTCTGTACTTCCTTATTTCGCGGTCGTTATCCAGCAAAGGGTCAACATCCCATAATTTTAGCTTTTAAATTCATGTCGTTACAGGAGGCAGACTTGCAACGTATTACGTTATTTCAAGTTTTTGTTCTAACTCCGAGTCCTCTGCAAACGGAAGACGACATGTACGCACGCACACACGCGCGCCCGCGCACGCACAAACACACGCTGGTTTTTACCTGTAATTATTCACACAATAATTTCTTATGGTAAAATCAACATCGGCCGTCACGGTAGCCGAGCGGTCTAAGGCATGTACTGTCTTCTCTCGCTCGGAAGCTGGAAACGTGGGTTCGAATCCCACTCAGGGCATGGATGTTTAGTTTGTGTGTTGTGTAGAGGTAGAGGCCTTGCGACGAGCTGATCACCCGCCCAAGGAGTCCTACCGAATGTGTAAGATCTAGAAAAACCGAGGTGAACGGAGAAGTTCATGGAGGTAGGCCTAGGTCCACTGGGGCTGTAGTGCCAAGTAAAAAAAAAAAAGGACATCATTCAAGTTCTGAGGGAGATACAAAATGCAAGTTGACATTTTATGAGCGTACATTCGTGGGATACTAGGTTATGTTTCAGAACTAGATAAACTAGAATATACTCGTATTTCATACGTCATACGACCAATCCACTGTGTGGCCGTACACACTATTTTAATTACGGAGAAAAAGATTAAACAAATCCGACCAAGTACAGTGTGGAATTCACTTGGTTCTATAAAATTTATGTATAGATTTTATTACAACGTATTTGTATGAGACATGTCCCATGTATACTAGAGATATTGCTAATAACATGTTCGGAAATATTCCAAAGTTGCAATATCTGAATACGGGAGTAGAATATCGAAATTACATTATATGTAATCAGGCGGTAATGCAAGTAAGATTCAGTTTTGGTCATGCTTGGTGTCAAATTGAAATTCAGCCCTAAAATTCAGGATATAATTGTGCTCTATTCATTGTAGGGATACGAACTTTGGCTTTTACTCTAAGGGGACGACATAAACTGAGATGTACGTTACGCAGGAATAGTGAGATTGTCTCTGGTCTGTGATGTGATTCCTTGCAGCTAAGCACCTACAAGACTACACGGTGGCATATCTCATATGATATATTTATACACAGGCAGTGAGTAATTCATATCGTATCAATAAGTACAGACTAAGTTAGATATGACTAGGGCCGCGCCATAGCTCAAGCGGTTAGTCGGTGGCATCCCAGGTTCGATCCCGGGTCTGGTCAAGTGGGATTTGTGGTGGACAAAGTGGCGCTGGGGAAGGTTTTCTCCGAGTACTTCGGTTTCCCCTGCCAATCTTCATTCCACCAATTGCTCCACAATCACCCTCACCTATCGTCTGGGGCTGGTACAATAGGCCAGAAGTGGCCGCAGTACAAGGGACTTAGTCCCACCCCACTAGCAATAACGAAAAGTTAGATATGAGGTTTTCACGGCGGTGACTATGAAGAGTGTCGTCTTCAGGGATGTGGAACCATGTAGATCCTGTGAGAATCAACGTTTCGGAGGAAAGTATCGCCTCCATCTTCAGGATAGATTTTTATAGAGTCTCGAGTTGTTGAGCCTTTCACTGTGGTGACTATAAAGAATGCCGCATTCTGGGATGTGGCGCAGCGTAGATCTTGTGTGAAGCGACCTTCCTCCTCCGAAACGTCTGTTCGCGCAAGATCTACATAGCGCCACATCCCAGAAGACGGCATTGTTCAAGTACAAACTAAATTTGGGAAAATATTTTCCACCGTCAGTTCTTAAAATTTTATCTTCCAGTCTCCCATCTAAAACTTTGGAGTAAAGTTTAAATAAATATAATTTGAAATATTGCCTTGTTTATGTATTAAGGTTTGGTTCTATCTTCATTTGGATGACAAATTTAGGGTATTTCAAAGTGACCTTCTTTCGGATTTTCTAACTAATTTTATGTACAAATTCATTCATCCCTTGCGAGGTACATCGAAATGTTTCGTCTTGATTTCGTGACACGGATGCCATCTGGTGAGTGAAAATCATGGAGACCCTCCATTATCCTATTTTTTTCTCCTCTCATGACCACATATTCTCTCCAACGCCCTCACGGCAATAAAAAAAACATTCCTTCGGAATTATGGGTGTTTGCAGTTCATCCTGTGGAACACGAATCAGAATCAATGAATATCGTGTTGCAACATTCGGCAGAGGAGAAACCAGCATCTTGTTATTTCCTGTTAATTTGCAGATAATTGTCACACAGTGAAAGCGATCAGATGTTAGGTAAAGCCGAATTCATCACGCAATTATAATATTTTAGACTCCAAAACGTAAATGTTAATTAGAATTCGTCAAAATAATTCATTGTTAAATTCCACACCACGCGTAACCAAATACTGTAGCACCGTTTAAATGTTGTGATTTGGCCATACCGTATTGGATTATTCGAGGTGAAGTCATCCAGATAGGTCGCTCGACCATTTTTAAAATTTTGTATATTTTGTACACATATTTCTAAGTACGAGTGTTTTCATTCATTCGTTCATTCATTCATTCATTCATCAGTAATCTGTCAGACGACAGGTCCACAGTCTCTTCCAAAACAGTTCCTCCACTTAATGCGATCTTCTGATTTTGGAAAGAGACTATCAGGGAAAAGTGATAATGTGGTACTTTTTCCATTTGCTTTCCACATCGCAGTACAACAGCCGTTCAACCACTCTGGTCAGGTCTGTTGCTATACGAACTTGAACCATCTCGAGCATCATTTGCTCTGTGCTTCAAGTCGCTGCTGATGACGCTGCTTCCGGCATCAGTTTTTGGTTAGAGTATTTTCATACTTCAAAAATATTTTTTAAAAAAATTGTAATGCGCTCGGTTCTCCCCGTACGGCCGTTTATATAATGCGAAGGAAAACGCGTTTTAGGCTGAAATGGAAGTTTGCGTTATCTCATAAATCTCGAAACCTATTGAAGCTAGATACTCCAATAGAAAACCAAATTTTTCCTCATGATAGGGACTACAATTCATGTCATTACAAGGTTTTATTCAACACATTTCCTCAAGGTCTAATTAAGCTTGAAACTTACGTGTCGATTTAGAATAAAAAAAAAGAACTTATTTCTTTACGTCCATCATGTGTATTTGTACCAACCGTCTTACAGTGCACACTTTTTCACCTTTCTCTTCACTACATGTTTTGCACTAAGATGCCATCTTCAGGTATAATTTCATTTACGTCAAACCATTGCACTGTATGTCATCATGTCTCCAGCAATACAACGCACGCAGTCACAAGGGAAGGACACAACACAGGACACAATATACACAAGAATATAAGAAGAGTACCCCCATAGGAGAGGATTGACGTAACTCGCGAATTTGAAGTGCGACGTATAGATGATAAATCTTGAAAAGTTTTAATATATAAACTTTATTATTATACATGACATGTACAAGGTGTCCCAGGAGAAATGTGCCAGACTTCGGGAGGGTGTTCCTTATGTTAAAGTATGCCAGTAGAACCCAAAACACCTATGTCCAAAGTTAACGGTTACGGAGATAATGGCCAGAGAAGTGTGAAACTTTGACAGGTGTTAAGACACTTGTTGATTACCAAATACATATTAAAACTGGCAGGATTATGCGGTTTCTGTAATGTTAAAAATGTACGTAACATCAAACTAACTTGTGAGTGACATGAGGCCATTAAATTGAACCACAAAAAAACTCGCACGCTATGTCAAAGTTGTCGTTAGGGTTCCAAGCACTGTACATGACACATGAATGGCAAGCACTGACGTGACATTGCTGACTGCGCGTTCTGGTATGCGAGTGTGTGAGGCTAACATGAGCCGTCATCACCACACTCAAGGACAAACATCGATAAGACTAGTCAGCTGACAGGTAAAGTGCGTGGATCCGCCAGAAGATCACACTATTCTCGGGCCATTATCTCCGTAACCATTCTACTTTGGACATAGGTGTTTTGGGTTATATCGGCATACTTTACCATAAGGAACAACCTCCGGAAGTCTGGCACATTCCTCCTGGGACATCCTGTATACATTTTAATCATTTTATAAAGGAGACATAATGGCATACAGTGCAATGGTTGACGTAAATAAACCACACCTGAAGATGGCATCTTAGGGCCGAAAAATGTAGTGAAGAGAAAGGTGAAATTGTGTGCACTGTAAGACGGTTGCTGCGTATACACATCACGGACGTGAATCAGTGCAACAGGACGCTAAAATATAACCTTATTTTTTACATTCAAAAACCAAAGGGAGGGTGTAAGTGTCAGGTATGTGGTCTCTACCCTTTGTTGTTACCTACACATGGAATATAATCACGTAGTTTTGAACCCCGTATCTATTTTCCAAAACTTTCCAGGGGCTTCCAAACTTTGCTCTAGGCCCCATATCGGCCATATTTAACGTCTCATATCTCCGGTTGGAAGCTCCGAATATTTTGAAATTCATAGCAAATAACGCTCTGTTCTCGAATAACGTGGAGATACCTGTGATACCGAGTGAAGAGCCACAGTGTTGCGTAACTTACCGGTATTTAAATCGCCTGTGTACAACGAGAAACCTATGGTGACTGGTTATAACTTATAGAGGCCACATGATGCGTATTCAAGGAACCGAAATTCAAGAGGAACTCCATTCCTGTTGCAAATGTTTTTACTTCTATAGTACCATTAGCATTATTACTGGTATTTTGTTTTACTTCCCTGAAGAACTTGTAACTTAAAATTACGGTTATGCTAAACAGAATTTCATTCAGAATCTGCAGGTGTGTTTATGATAAATTTCAATATCAAACTGAAAATACTTAGTTCAAAATGTTGTCACCCTCAAACCGAAAGCTAAATACATATATCAGGCAGCATCCTGTAATTCCTTCACATTCATCTAAAGAAAATTGCCACGTTTCAAGATATATTTATTACCTTACACTACTTCTATCTTCCACCACTGAAGTTCGCGCAACTGCCATGCTCTTATTGTTACTGATTGCAGGAAGTTAAAAAGTACTGCATTTGAGTGACCACAAACAACAGAATATTCACAGCACATTTAATGAAAATTGGTCAACTGCTTCCAAAGTTCAGAGGGGAAAAATGGCATGCTGATCTCGTTACTTCACTTCATTTCAGCACTAGAGGGAAGCAGTGTAGAGAACGCAAACACTTATATGTATATACTGATAGAAAATTAATATCTGTATTCTTGTCTCACTGTATATTTACAATTGCTCAAGTACAGTCATTGCAAAAAATATGCTACCTCAAACACCAGCTGATCACGTTTTCTCCTCTGTTCAGTGTTTTAAATCTTTGCTTGATATGAGAATCCGTGAGGGTATTTTCCAGAACTATACGCTAATATCAAAAAAAAAAACTCATGTTGCGTAGTGTTATCGATAGGCAATACTATTAAAACTCTGGCAGTGATCATCAACTCCAAAGTATGCCAGTCTCAGACCATAGAAATTGACACATCGAAGCTCAGCTTGCCGTTATCTGCAAATTCTTTGACAGTGCAGAGATTCAGTAGCAGACAGTCAGAGTTCATGATTGTTGAGAAGTCTCCTTCTTGGATGGATCTTGTTGTTGCTTCCCATAACAAACGTCTTCTTTGGCCTTTTAGTTCCAACCTATATGTAAAGTTTTCAGATTGTGTCCTTGACCCAATCAGTTGTATTGTAACAAAATATTGTTCACGCCCATCAACCGCGTTTGGTTTACAAAATACCACAATAAAATTGTAGCCAAAACGCGACAGCATATGGAACCAGACCGCTGGTCTTGGCTCATTGATCTCTGATATTGATAAATGAAAAACCTTATCTTCAATATCTCCGATAAATCTATGAGACTTCTTAAGGTGAGGTGCCACGTCCTCAAGGGAACCTTGCCATTTGCAACCGTCCTCTGGGAACGGACAGGGGCATGGCCGGAATTCACATGTTTCTTCATGTGCCCTCCTCTCAGTGTGTAGAAGGGCTACTGCACAGCCAGATGTTGAATAGTTGCAAGGAAGCTTAAGAGTTCTTGTAATTTTCTCCACTAACAAGTTCCGACTGTTTCCCAAACGTGCCCTGCATATTGGACAACAAGTGAACTTGAGACGACAATTGGTGCAAATCACATGACCGTTAGGACACTGTAGTATAGGAGTCTGGATATAATTGCAGCACACTGGGCACTGGAATTCGCTTGCCAAATCTTCCTGAACCGTAGCCATTTCCATCCCTCCACCTGCGAACAGAGAAATAGAAATAAATATCTTCAGATTATTCTGGAGGCACATGAGAAGCTGAAAGCTAGACAGCAAACTCAACTATAGGAAGGCCTCATATCTGTGATGGATTGTAGGACAACTTGGCTGGAGCCGAATCACTCCGCCTACCTCTACTAGTGAGCATTCCTGGCTGAAATGCGATAATTAGTTAACTCTAATTACCAGTTCTCGAAATTGGATTGTACCTAAGAAAATCTCAGAAAAGTTGATTACCCATGATTCCAAGAAAATATGCCTATTACTTTACCACGTCTGTTTCTTCCGGTCATTCTGTTTCTGTCACAGTGTGCACAGGCTCCTCCTTGGGAAGCTGACAAGAAACGTTCCCACATTTATGGAAGCCGAGAATTCATGACTGTAACCAACACCAGGGGCTAGTTTCACATATGAACTTCCTTATGAATTTGTTTCACCCGAATATGCTGTATGGGCGACGCTTTTAAATCTCCTTCGTTAAACCGTAACAATGATTCCAGGCTAACCAAGCAATTCATAACTATTATCTTTGTTATACAATATGCTGTGGCATGGAAATGAATGTGGAAAAAACAAGAGTAATGAAAATTTCGAGACAACCAACCCGTCACAATAAAGATAGACCAGAAACAACTGGAGAATGTGAAATGTTTTAAATACTTGAGTAGCTTGTTAACAGATGATGGAAGGCGTACTTGTGAAATTAAATCGAGCTGTTTTGCAAGAAGAAGAATCTTTTTACCAGCAAACTGGACTTAAATTTAAGAAAGAAACTAGTGAAATACTGTATTTGGAGCATGGTTTTGTATGGGCTGAAACTTGGACACTTAGGTCAGTAGATCAGAAACAACTGGAAAGTTTCGAAATGTGGTGTTGGAGAAGGATGGAGAAGATCAGTTGGACCGATTATGTGAGAAATGAAGAAGTGTTAATTAGAGTCAGTGAGCAGAGGAATATCCTACACGAAATAAGAAAACAGAAGGCTAATTGGATTGGTCATATCTTACGCAGTAACTATCTTCTAAAAGAAGTTATTAAAGGAAAGATAGAGGGGCGGATAGAAGTGACGAGAAGACGAGGAAGAAGACGTAAGAAGATGCTGGATGACCTTGGGAACAGAAGAGGATATTCTCATTTGAAGGAGAAAGCTCTAGATCGCATGAAGTGGAGGAACTGTTTTGGAAGAGACTGTGGACCTGTCGTCTAACAGATTACTGATGATGATGATACAATATTTGACATACCTATACCGATTACGTCAAGACAATTATATGTATATAATAGAAACCACTGAGATGGCTTCAGATGTCGGACGGCATGGTGGAACGCTACATTAACACCTTCGAGGAGCACTCGCGGAAGGTCGTCACATCCCTCCAGATGGACTGGGATGAGAGGTTACCCCTCTTTCTCCTAGCTTACAGGCATCCACTCACGACACTACGGGCTTGACCCCTGCTAGCCTTGTATTCGGACGAGAACTCCGACCGCTCTGCGACCTGCTTTTTGGGGTATCTCCAGACAAGGAATTGCGCCCAACCGATTATGCAGCAGAGTTAGTGGATGACCTACACGACATCCACAACACCTGAAGCTCGGCAGTGACCGGATGAATAGTATGTTCGATAAACTGGCCAACTCCGCAGGTTACCACGAGGGCGACAATGTTTGGCTCTATCGCCCAGCTCGCAGAAAAGGGACATCACCGAAACTTCAGTCCTCGTTGGAAGGCTTTTACAATGTACTCAACAGGATAAATGACGTGGTATACAGAATCCAGGAGAACCTTAGGTCGAGAATGTTGGTAGTACACCTGGACAGGCTCGCGCTTATAATGGAGCTGCTCGAGACGAGAAACCATAAGAAGGAGGCAGGTGTAGCGGTTGGAGAACGGAAAACGGGAAGAAAAGAAATACCGAGCCAGACAAGAAGACGTTGCAAGTATAGGATCGGAAAGGAAGGACCGGTGATGCACTGTACGGCTAGTCGGGACGAACAGACTTAAGATGGGAGCAGTGTGACATGTCTAACCGTTGCTGTGCAACGGGTGGTGGAACGATTTACCACGAAGGCAGACCTTTGATAAACGGTCGGTTGCCAAGTTTCGCAACGGTGGAAACGAGGTTACGCAATATTAAAAATAGCGGTGTTCCTCCGTGCGGTGGTTGCTACACAGCAATAAATAACTCTCGGCAGCACTGCCCGGCAACGCCTGTAAACGGCGTTTACGCAACAGTGAAGCGAGGTGGGTTTTCCGCTGTCCAACTGAGGGTTTATAAGAGAGACTTGATTGTCTAAACAGCCTGAACAACCCCGTGTGGAGGCGGGGTCGAATTCCTCCACCCTGACCCTGCGAGTAGTAGGAGGCGACGAAAAGGGAAGTCTCAAATCTGAGACAGTAAAATATGGTCGCCAGTCCCAAGGGACTCGGACCCAAGAAAGACCACTGCCTAGGGCCAGCAGCATATACAAGAAGCAGACCCGTCCTCTCGTCGGAGATGGTGTCTCACACAAGCAAGACCGTAACTGTCAAACGGTATTAATTAATATCTGGTCATGAGCCCCAGATGGAGCTCTGCATCAAGACTCACTGACTAACTGACCGTGAGTCGCAATGTGCTTTGACTTTGACTAAGCAGCATCCGGAGGGGAAAGTGCGGAATGGGCTAGCATTGTAGTAAATACGGCGGAAGAAAACGGAGCGAGCTACTGCAAAGTTATCCAGGGAAAACCACTTTTTAGTGCCTTGTACGACACTTACACAGTAATGTAACAACGAGTTGATTGCCGTGCTCAAGGCGAACACCATATCAGCCCAAATAACCTACAGAAAACAACAGGAAACAAACATAGCAGGAGGACAGTTTGCAAGAAGTAAAGAGGCGGAAGCTGTGCGCTACTAACGAAACCGTCCGTCAGATCTTCAAAGAAAGGGGCAGTGCAGACCAAAATGTAGCCGGCCCTAAATATCCCACCCAAGGGAATCGTCACGCGAATTCCCCCCCCCCCAGGAGAGCGGGTATGGACACCGGCGTTTCCGATACTGAGGCCACTTCAAATGAGGATGCAGTTCCTGAAAAATCAGGAACACCGCCTCCAGTTTTCATAATGTTTACCACTAACCTGATTCAGTTGCAAAAACAACTGAAAAATGTGGTCAAAGAAAGCTTTGAGTTCCGTAGCACTAGAAACGGAACAGAATCATCACGAGGGGCATGGCGGATTTCCAGTCCGTGAAATCCCACTTCGATACCAATAATATTAACTATTACTCGTTCTGTCCCAAATCCTGAAAACCTATGAAGGCGGCGATACGTTACCCACCACACAACACCCCTGCAGAAGACATATCTGACGGGCTGGTGAGCATCGGGTTTGGTGTTATTAGCATCAAGCAGATGACAGCCACCCGTCGGTCACCCTCCGGTGGATCAACAACCTTACCGAGGACAGCAAAATCCCAAGAAAATTTTCAGACTGTAAAACCTCTGCTACATCGCAGTCAGGGTAGAGGCATTTACACATAGAGCTCAGAATGGTCTTGTGCAGTGCCATAACTGCCAGCAGTTCTGTCGCGTTTGGGCAAACTGCAAGCAACCTCCCCGTTGCTTGAGGTGCGGAGGAGGTCACCTGCACAAAGAATCCCTGAAAAAGGGAATACGTCTTCCACCGGTTGGCAGAAGGGGAAAACCCCCTTCCCGCAAATTATCATGGCTGCAGACACGCGGAGGAGAAGATGCAGAGAACACCCAGGGCTACAACAGGAACCACTCCAAGCGTGTCCTTCGCGGCAGCGCCCCGAGGCAAGACAGAGGAACAACGGCAACCTCAGACACATGAGGCAGCAGTAAGAATAATGCTCGAGAAGTCTGTAACTTTAAACGATATTCAAATGTTTGGAGGTCCGATACATCATCCGAATTACTTAGTCAGTTTGCACTGCGACTGCGCAGCGGGAGATGTGCTTTACAGGAATCTGATATTTATTTGGTTCCTTATGGAGTTTTGTCCTCAGTATTCAGCAGAGAAATGACTAACATTGGAAGAAAGATCTTCACGAATTTCGTAGCGAATATCTTAAGTTTAAGTATCGATGTGAGTATTTACTAACCCCAATTCAAATAAAGATATACACGTTATTTTTTTTTCCTTGGCACTACAGCCCCAGTGGGCCTAGGCCTACCTCCATGAACTCCGTTCACTTCGGTTTTTCTAGATCTTACACATTCGGTAGGACTCCTTGGGCGAGTGATCAGCTCGTCGCAAGGCCTCTACCTGTAGACAAACACAGAAAAACACACACAAACTTCCATGCCGTGAGTGAGATTCGAACCCACGATCCCGGCTTCCGAGCGAGCGAAGACAGTGCATGCCTTAGACCGCTCGGCTACCATGACCGGCATACACGTTATTAGTAACTCAAAAACTGTCTTTCTGGTGCTTTTTAATTTTTCAGGCCAATTTCCTGGTGAACCAACTTACTTCGCAAGTCCGGGTATCAAAGTATATTTCGTCTGAATAAATTTATTACTATAAATAACGTATGTTCAAAAGAAAGCGGACAGAATTGGTTGCTCTACAGCGAACGATCCAAGACGTATTCGGGAAGTGCTTAATTTGACTCTGGTTCGGAGCTGAGGTTCCTCGCGGTTCCCTCAATCCACCCAGGCGAATGCTGGGATAGTATCATGATGAGACCACGATCGCTGCCTTGCAGTTTGATATTCGATTATCATCCTACCACCCGACGCTACGTATTTTCAGTACTGAAAAAGTGTCGTTGAAAGGCGACAAGAAAGAGCTCATGAAAATATTTAGAACTGAGAGGTGTAAAAAGTAGGCGAACACTTCAGGTTATCAAGTAAGCATTTTAAGGAACTTGGTGATTTGTACAGGTCCCCTAGTGTAGCTAGGGGAGTGGAATGCAAGAGGCTGTGAAAGTGGCTAGGGCAGTGGAGGCAAGGAATTCTTACAGAATTTT